CCGCTGCCGCTGCCGCTGCTGCTGCTGGCGGTGCTGGTGCAGTAGCTGCTGTTGGTGCTGCTGCTGTTGCTGCTGCTGCCGCAGTTGTTGTCGCTTAACACTTGATTTGTAATTATTATTATATGGGTTGGCGATGATATGAAGATGGATGCAGCAGCAAACAGCAGCAGCAAACAGCAGCAGCAGCAGCAGCAGCAGCAGCAGCAGCAGCAGCAAACAACAGCTAGTTTTGCTGTGGGGTCACCTGGAAGTTGACAGCTTTGAGCGGAGATTAAAGGATCGCGGCTTTGTCTATTTTTTATAGTTTTTAACTATTAAATTAATTTAAATATAAATAATTAATAACTAATAATTGCTAGAAAAAAATAAAGAAGAGCACGAGGCGCTGCTGCTGCACGTGCACGGCTACTGAAACCAGAAGCAGCAGCGGCAGCGGCAGCAGCAGCAGCAGCAGCAACAACGGCAGATGCAGCAGCAACAGCAGCAGCACCAACAACTACCAGTGTAGCTGCAGCAGCAACAGCAACAGCAACAGCAGCAGCAACAGCAGCACCACCAACAACAAGCCGTGTAGCTGCAGCGACAGCAGCGGCAGCAACGACAACAGCAACAGCAGCAACAGCAGCAACAACAGCAACAGCAACGGCAACACCAACAGCAGCAACAGCAGCAACAGCAGCAACAGCAGCAAAGTTTGTTGCATGCGTGTGTATGTGCTCTTGTCTGATAATTAAAACAGTAATTATAATCAATAACAATACACAATAATAATAATAATATTATTATTATTAAATAATAAATATAATAATAATATTAATAATATTAATATTAATAATATTAATAATGAGTTTGTTATGCAATGAAGAGCGCAGCAAACTTCACGTCTTTCTGTCGCTGTTCTTTTGTTGCTAGTTGTGGGTTTGCTGCTAATATTAATAATAATTATTATTATAATTATAATAGTTATAATAATAATAGGAATAAGGATTATTATAAGAAGACCTCCGTTGCAGCAGCAGCTGCAGCAGCAGCAGCAGCAGCAGCAGCAGCAGCAGCATCGCTTTGCCGCCCTGCAGCAGCAGCACCAGCTGCAGCATCGACACCAGCAGCAGCAGCAGCACAGCCACCAGCAGCATCAGCAACATCAGCAGCAACACCAGGAGGAACGCCAGCAGCTCCCACAACAGCAGCGTCAGCAGCAGCAGCAACAGCAGGAGCAGCAGCAGCAGCAGCAGCAGCAGCAGCAGGTAGCTGGAGGTGTTTAGGGCAATTGGGTGTTGTGGGCGTTCGTTTGATAGAAGACGGAGTTGCTGCTTGCTGCGCTGCTGCTGCTGCAGCACCCGTGGTAGCTCTTATAGATAGGTGTATTGTCAGCAGCAGCACAGGGGGCCCCCCTCTATCTTCTTGTTTGCTCCGGGTGGTGTTTGCTGCTGCAGCAAGACCTGCAGCTTTCTTCAAAGACAGGGGTTTGCGTGTTGTCTTTGGAGTGTATGCTGGGACATACTTTACTGCTAATGCTGCAGCAACTCTCTGCAACAGCGCAGCAGCAGCAAAAGACGCAGCAGCAGCAAAAGACGCAGCAGCAGCAGAAGATGCAGCAGCAGCAAAAGACGCAACAGCAGCAGGCGACGAAGCAGCAGCAGGCGAAGATGCAACAGCAGCAGGCGACGCTGCATCAGCGGGATATGCAGCAGCAGAAGACGCAGCAGCAGCAGCAGCAGCAGAAGCAGCAGGAGCAGCAGAAGATGCACGAGCATCAGGGGACTCAGGATCAGCAGCATCAGCATCAGCATCAGCAGCAAGAGCAGCACTTCCTCAGCTTGCATGCACAGCTGTTTGTAATATATTGTTAGGGCTTCGGAAAGATATTATCTTTACGCGGCTCTACGCTGTCTGCGATCCTTTTGCTGCTGCTAAAGTCTTCCCAGCCCTTTCTGTTGCTCTCTTCTTGGCCAGAGACACTCTAACTGTTGCTTCAGCATTTACATTTCCGCCCTTCATTGCTGCTTCAGTCGCTGCACTTGCAAAGCAGCAGCAGGAACTGCAGCAGCAGCAGGAACTGCAGCAGCAGCTACAGCAGCAACATGAACAACAGCAACAACAACAACAACATCAACAGGAGCAGCAGGAAGAGCAGCAGCAGGAACAGCAGCAGCAGCAGCAGCAGCAGGAGGCGAGTATATGTGCATTGTATAGAAGGTTATTGTTTGTAGCAGGAGGCAGCAGCAATTATTTCTTTGGCTGCCGTTTGACTGCAGCAGATATAACACCTTCCAGATGTTTAGCAGCAGCACAACTCTTAACCCCCGTCTCTGTACAGCTGCTGTCTACGCCTCTGCATTTGCTAGCTATAGATATATACAGCCGGCCTGCTGCTTCTGTCGGGGATCGTGTGGGGTTCGTCTCCAGCGCATACACCCCAGCAGTATTAGCAAGAGCAGCACGTGTTGCTCCTGCATTTGGCTTAGGGGGGCTTATAAACTCGTATGTTTGCTGCTGCTTTAGAGGACCCCACACCAGCAGCAGCAGCAGCAGCAGCAGCAGCAGCAGCAGCAGCAGCAGCGGGGGGACGAGACAGCTTGGGTTGCTGCTGCAAGAGGAATTTCCTTTGTAGCTGCTTTGCTGCTGCAGCAGCGAAACACGGGGCTGCTTTTGCTGCGCGCATGCAGCAGCAACTCAGCAGCAAAGCAGCAGCAACTCAACAGCAATGCAGCAGCAACTCAGCAGCAATAGCAGCAGCCCTACTCACTCAGTGCATGCAGCTGCAACACAAAAAACAAACAGGGCCCCCAGCGAAGAGTTTCCTAAAACATATTGAAGCTCTCTTGCTGCTGCCTGCTGCTGCTGTTTGCTGCTGCTGTTTGCTGCTGCTTGCTGTTGGGTCTCTCGGGTGTATGTATGTACACGCAGCAGCAATTGATATCATATTTAAACCAGGGGTTCAGAGACACTGCAGCAGCAGCAGCAACAGCAGCAGCAGCATCATCAGCAACAGCAGCAGCAGTAACAGCAGCAGCAGCAGCAGCAGCAGCAAACAGCCTGCTGCTGCTAGCGCTCTGCTACTAGGGGGCCCCGCAAAAGACCTCAACGCTGGGGTGTCTGTACAGCTCAACTAATTCGTAGTTGCTGCACTACTGCTAATTTATGTCTTGCTAGATTAGCTAGATGCAGCAGCAGCAGCAGCAGCAGCAGCAGCAGGAAACTACAGCTAGCTGGTGCTGCTAGCTGCTTGCTGCCCCCACCGCAAAACAAAAAGGAGACAGCAAAACGAAGCAGCAAAAAAAAGACAAATTAAATAATTTTTTAAACTATAAATAAGAAATGAAGAATAACATTACTCGCCAACAGCGAGACATTTGGCTAGCTGCAGCCCTAGCTAGCTAGCTGCAGCCCTAGCTAGCTAGCTGCAGCCCTACCTAGCTAGCAGGAGTTGGCTAGCTAGCTATCTAGCTTGTCAGCCAGCTAGCTAGCTAGCTAGCTAGCCAACTGAATAGCTAGCTAGCGTCTTGACTGTAAGGCTAGCCCGTCAAATTGTGTGGGGAGGGACCCTTGTAGCTAGCTAGCTAGCTAGCTAGCTAGCCAACCAGATAGCTAGCTAGGCTTGCTGCTAACGTGAGTGCTGTGGGTGCGTGTGCGCGTATGTGTTTGTTTGTCTATTTATTTATTTATTTAATTTATTTATTTATCTATTTGTTTATTTATTTGTTTATTTGTTTATTTGTTTGTTTCTGTCGCTCTGGCTTGTATAAAATATATATTTTATTTGTTTACTCCTTTCATATTATTTAGTGTATTGTTTGTTATATTTGTTTATTTGTATATTATTTAATTAATTTGTTTATTTTGTTTACTTCACCTGTTTATTTATTTATTTTGTTATATTTGTTTGTTCATTGTGTTATTATGTTTTTAGCATTTGTTTGTTTATTATATTTATAGTCTGCTTTACTTCATTAGTAATATTTATTATATTTGTTTCTGTATAATATAATTATATTTGTTTTATTTATTTGTTAATTATATATAAATAATATATATTAATATTTTCTTTATTTGCTTCATTTGCAGCATTAACATGTATATAATAAATATTAATATATATTTTTTATATATTATATTTGTTATAAATATATATATATATAAATATATAAATATATAAATATATTATATTATATTAAATATTATTTATTTGTTAACAGCAGCATCTTCAACTATTCTCTTTAATGTTTTACGCTGCTTCGGCGTTAATGCTTGTGTTAGCTGCTCTAAGGGCGCTGGCTCGCTGCTGTCTCTTATCTGCAGCAGCAGCAAAGCTGTCTCCTTTGCTGCTGCAGCAGATATAAATGCTGTTTTATAAACAGATATTAAAATGCATATAGCTGTCTCTACCCGACGCAAATTAGCAGAGAAAAAACCGTCGCGATCCTAACAAACAAATTAAACAAACAAATAAACAAATAAATAAATTAATTAATTAATTAATTAATTAAATTAATTAATTAAATTAATTAATTAAATTAAATTAATTAATTAGTTAATTAAATTAATATAAATATGTGTGTAGATGTATGTGTATATCTATATAAATAGATATATAAATATATATATAAATATATATACATAAATTTTAATATTAATATAAAGACGCATAATTAAATATATTAATATTATAAATATGTAAATATATAAATAAATATATAAATAAATAAATATATAAATTTATAAATATGTAAATACATATATATATATATTAACATATAAATAAACAAATACATAAATACACTTAAAAATATAAAAATAAATAAATATAAATATGCAGCACATAGCTAAGACGAACAGCAGCAGCAAATCAAACGCCTCAACCCCACACCCCAGCACAGATGCAGCAGCAGCAACAGCAACAGCAGCAACAGCAGCAAGAACAGCAGCAACAGCAGAAGCCTAAGCAACAGCAGCAGCAAGAATAGCAGCAAGCGCAACAACAGAAGCAGCAGCATGAGCAGCAACAGCAGCAGCAGCAGCAGCAGCAAGAACAGCAGCAGCACGAGCAGCAGCAGCAGCACGAGCAGCAGCAGCACGAGCAGCAGCAGCAGCAGCAGCAGCAGCAGGATAGATTACCCTTTTGAGTGCATCAAGCAGCTGCTGATGAACTCTAATTGCTTCTGTTGCGTCTTGCTTCAGAGGCAAGCAGCAAATCCACGTGTCTGCAACTCTTTCTGCGTCTCCTCCTAAAGCTGCGCTATGATATTCAACCAAATCTCCTAGCGCAGCTACTGCGTTATCAAGAGCTGCCTGCAGCAGCAGCAGCAGCAGCAGCAGCAGCAGCAGCAGCAGCAACAGTGAGAGTAGCAACAGGGAGAGCAGCAGCAGTGAGACCAGCAGCAGCAGCAGCAGCAAAAACAGAAACAGCAATGCTAAAACAGCAGCAGCAATGCTAAAACAGCAGCACCAGCAGCACCAGGAGCAGCAAGTGCAACAGCAAGAGAATCAGCAGCAGCAAGTGCAGCAGCAGCAAGTGCAGCAGCAGCAGCAGCAGCAGCAGCAGCAAGTGCAGCAGCAGCAAGTGCAGCAGCAGCAGCAGCAGCAGCAGCAGCAGCATACAAGCTGCGTTTTGCTTTTCTTTCCTCTAGTTCTGTTGATAGCAGCAAGAAGATGTCTTGCTGCATCGGGAACGAAAGCAGCAAAATCTTTTATCTTTGCTGCTTGCTGCACACCAAATGCAGCAGCTTGCAGCACTTGAGGGTCTTCGCTGTCGATACACCGCAGCAATTGCGGCATAAACCGAGGCCAAAACGCCAACGCACC